TGTGCATTTTGTTCTTTATTCTATTAATATGATAGATTACATTGTTTAGTTTTCACATGTTAAGCCAACCTTGCATTTCTGGGATAAATCCTACTTGGTCATTATGTATAATCCTTTTTATATGTTGCTGGATTCAGTTTGCTAGTATTTTATTTGTCTTACTCTTTTGTCTTAATTCTTAACAGATTCAGAACATCATAAAGAAAAATGCTATATTTGGCCCCTGGAATCCTAACAATAATCTTTTCTTAGAAACTTTCTGTGATACTCCCTTATCTCCAAATAACTCCTATATAACGCCATAGCACAGTAAGTAGCATTTATCCCATTGTATTTTTATTGTCTGTTTACTTATTTGTCATCTTTCTGCTTCTTGAGAACTTCTTGAGAAATATTTTATCTCCCATTGTATCCCAGTATCTAGCACAATCATTGACTAGTATAACTTGAGGCCTCTGGGAAGCAGATAAACATCAGATTTTGAAAAGAACAAGAACAAAAATGGAAAGGAGATATGTAGCAAAGTGATTATAAGAGAATAGCTGAGACACAGAATAGTGTCAGAAAGATTAAAATATCAAATAAATTAAGATATGAAGAAATATTGACAACAAGAAGTAAATTTTACTTAGCTATATTCAGAATGAAAACATATCAAAGAACGTTTAGATGTGTTCTGCTGGGATTATTTAAAAATGCTGAGGGATGACAAAGAGTAGAATCCCTCAGCTCTTAAGTTGCTTCTCTCTTTTCTATCAAATGGAGTTTTCTTCTGACTAGAAAATGGAGAATAAATATCGATAAGAGAGGACAGAAGTCAAAAGACTCTGAATGAGTTATCTCTAGTCCCAGTCATGTCACATCTCATATAAGGAAAGAATTCACATATAAGATCATAAACCCACCAACAACAATCTTTTAAGAATTCAAGGAAGTTACTTTCCTCTCTCTGCTAAATGCCTAACTTTTCAGTTAAGACTCCACCACAATTTAAGGACCAATTCCTTCAAGAAAACATTCCCTGTGATTTCTAGACTGAACTAGATCCCGCTTTGAGCAACAAGAGCAATTTGTACATATCGTTATCACTCAATCTGTCCTACTCTTATTGTAATGAACTGTATATGAGTCTTACTAAACTTTGATGTCTCCTTCTTAAATGATGAGTAGCTAGTCTAGTTGAAGAGAGGGAGAATTATGTTTCAGGCAGAGAAGACAGCATGAGCAAAGGCAAGGAGGTGAGAAGACATGTATTTTGAGGCTACAAGAAGATCATCTTTGGTGAGGTATAAAGTAAAAAGCAGAGAATGGGAAGAGATAAAACTGGAGAGGTAGTCAGGGGGTATTTCTTTCTTTTTTTTTTTTTTGTGAGGAAGATCAGCC